GAGAGACGTACACACACACACACACACACACACACACACACACACACGGAGACAGTGTGAGTGAGGAAGGGGCAGAGAGAGACAGAGACACAGAATCCGAAGCAGGCTCCAGGCTCTGAGCTGTCTGCATAGAGCCCTACGCGGGGTTTGAACTCACAAGCCGCCAGATTGTGACCTGAGCTGAAGTCTGGCGCTCAACAGACTGAGCACCCCCCACCATCCGCCCTGGCCGGCACCCCCTCTCATGTCAACACTTGAGGGTTTTCTCTGTTTCAACACCATACCCACTTTCGGCCAGTCTTCCCTCTCTGAAAGAGGCAGGATCATAGCTCGAGTAGCAGGACCTTGTGCTCAGAAGCCCCGGGTTCAAATCCCTTTCTGACTCTACCTCAAAGGCGAGACCTCGGACATGTTTCTTTACTTGCGAAATAGGACTAATCCCTAATTTTACAACGATATTGTGGTTGCAAAGATTAGATGAGAAAATGTATACAGTCGACTCTTGAACAACACAGGTTTGAGCTGCCTGGGTCCCCTCTGCATGGATATGTTTAAAACATTTTTTTAAGTTTATTTATTTATTTTGAGAGAGTGAGAGCAGGGGAGGTGCAGCAATGGAGGGGGACAGAAGATCCGAAGCAGGCTCCGTGCTGACAGCTGAGAACCCAGTGCGGGGCTTGAACTCACAAACAGTGAGATCATGACCTGCGCCAAAGTTGGACGCTCAACCGGCTGAGCCCCCCAGGCGCCCCTTAATAGCACTTTCTTTCCTCTAGCTCACTTTATGGTAAAAATCCAGTAGAAAGAACAGCTACAAGTATGTGTTAATCGACTGTTCGTGTCACTGGTCATGCCGTTAGGACTTGAGTTTTGGGGGAGTTGTATGAGGAGTTTTGTCTGTACCAGGGTGGGGGTCAGGGCGCCCTAAGCGCCATGTGGTTCGAGGCTCAGCTGGGGAGGAAGGCCCGGTACGCAATCATTTCTCAAGAATTGTGAGTCCTTTCTTCCAGATCTTTCTTGGTCATTTGCTCGAAAAGGCCTCGGGGAGGGGAGCCAGGCGTGGGAGGGATTTGCAGCCCCGTCCGGGGGCTCCCCGAGAGCCGCTGGCCCGAACACGCCTCCTCTCTCTTGCTGTCCCTGCTCAGCGCCTCCCTGGTGCCCGTGTACTCCTTTGGAGAGAATGATATCTTCCATCTGAAGGCTTTTGCCCCCGGCTCCTGGCAATACCTGTGCCAGGTTGCCTTCAAGAAGCTCACGGGCTACTCACCTTGCATCTTCTGGGGTCGCGGACTCTTCTCGGCCAACTCCTGGGGCCTGCTGCCCTTTGCCAGGCCCATCACCACCGTGGGTGAGTGCCCGTCTCCGGGGGAGGAGAGCGGCCGTCAGCTGTGCGGGCAATCCCGCACCTCACCCCTGTCTGCCCTCTCCCTGCAGTGGGCCGCCCCATTCCGGTGCCCCAGATCCTCTGCCCCACCGAGGAGGAGGTCAACCACTACCACAGGCTCTACATGCAGGCCCTGGAGACACTGTTTGAGGAGCACAAGGAAAGCTGTGGCGTCCCTGCCTCAACTCACCTCACCTTTATCTAGCCTCTTCCCCGCCCCCCAGCCCCCAGCCCCCTGGGACCTCCACCTATGCCAGCTGTACCACTCCAATAAAAGCTCTTTCTCTCCCACCACTGCTTTGTGGAATCGGCTGCCTGCAGGGCTCACGCTGTGCCTCCGTGGGTAACCCGCCCCCACTCTCACGTGCCACGGAGCTGCTTTAGTATCTTTTTTTTTTTTTTTTTAACATCCATTTTTGAGAGACAGAGAAAACATGTGAGCGGGGGAGGGGCAGAGAGAGAGAGGGAGACACAGAATCCGAAGCAGGCTTCAAGCTTCGAGCTGTCAGCACAGAGCCCAACACGGGGCTCGAACCCACGAACCACGAGATCATGACCTGAGCCAAAGTCGGACGCTTAACAGGCTGAGCCACCCAGACGCCCCTGGAGCTGCTGCCTTAGATTGGGTGTCAGAATCCTGAATTCTCCTCCCAGCAAGACTTAATCCTGCTGCAGGATCGTGCATAGGTTTCTTTCCTTTGCTGAGCCCTTTTCTCTCTGTGAATGAAGGCATCTGCTTCGCGGAGAGCCGCAGGATCTCAGGATTGAGTTGAGGAGGGTGGCTCTTGCAGGGGGGGAGGGGGGCGCTAGGCGTTGCAGGGTGGGCTGCAGAAGACAGGATGCCTGGCGCAAGAGCGTGAGCAAATGCTGAGCTTGGTCAAGGGCATCTGGCCTCATGGGGAGGGAAATGATCTCCAGTTGTACGAGAAAGGTACGCTGCTCGCTTCCACGCCCTCTCTCTGTCCTTTGGGTCTCCTCGTAGCTGGGAGCTGAGGGGAAACGAGGACCTACCTGACCGGCATTGAGCCCTACTGCAAGCCCAGCATTAGGTCAACAGGAACCCAGTTACCCAACAAGCACAGAACTCCGGTCAAGATCAAAGAATTAATATTGAAGGGCTGGGGCGCCTGGGGGGCTCCATCGGCTGAGTGTCCAACTCTTGAGATCAGGTTCGTGATCTCACAGTTTCGTGAGTTTGAGCCCCAAGCCCCTGCTTGGGATTTTCCCTCACTCTCTATTAGCCCGTCCCCGCTTGTGCTATCTCTGTCTCTGTCTCTCTCGAAATAAATAAACTTAAAAAAAAAAATTAAGGGCTTAGAACAGAGATTGGCAAAATATTGTCATCCCCATGATGGGCATGGCATCGGTCCAACCAGAGGGTAAGACCGAACAGTCTAGGGGGACCTCGTGTGGTCATAGCGTCCTCTGACTATGTCAGTCCCATTTACGGACTGGCTGTGCGTCTGTGTCCAGGACGTAAGAATACCTTGTTGAAATGTAATTGGGATGTAACCATACCTATCTCCCACTGTCCTATATTGTCCTATACAATATATTCAGTGGAAGAAGTTTTTCTTGTTCCTGCATGAAAATCTGGGCACTCCTGTGACTTATCTGGGTCATTCTCAGGTAATAACTTCTTCATCCACCTCAAGTTGTACTATAGAGGGGCACCTGGGTGGCTCAGTCAATTGAACGTCTGACATCCGAAGCGGGACTTGAGCTCACCTGATGTAGGGCTCGAACTCACAAACCATGAGATCATGACCTAGCCGAAGTCAGATGCTTGACAACCAGTCGCCCAGGCGCCCCAGGTTTGAACACCCTTAGCCCAGATGCGACTATAGGACAGGCTGACCTCAATGCAACCACTGTCTTTCCTTCTTTCCTGGAGGGAACCTCCAGCCAGCTACAGTCTGGCCATTAGACTTCTCTGTGGGCACATCCAACAAACACAGGGGCGTACCGAGCTCTTTGAGCCTTGCAACCTATGTCACCGATCTTGTGGAAGTAAGCCTTGCCCTCGAGCTCTGAAAGCCCCCCTCCCCCCGCCCACTTCTCTCCTTTGTGTCCAATCCTTGTCATGGGTCAGGGACTCAAGGGTCACTTCTCAACTATTTGCTTGGGCAATGCATTCTTGCTCGCTGCATGTGATCTGCTCTGGCCCCTTTTGGAATGCAGGACCTTTGTGCCTCATCCCAAACTTTAAGGGTAGCATCACATGTGTTTTTCTCTGGGTTCTTCCCCCGAGGGACAAAAGCACCAACTTCTAGTGAGAACGGGCCACCAAGAGCTGGGAGTATGGGGATTAGATTGCCACGGGCCTTCCTCCAAGAAGCCCCCTGCCATTCTCCCCTGTGAGTGGTAGGTGCCTATCTCTAGGGAGGGGAGGTTGGGCTGGGTGACAGGTGAGGAAGGGGACCTTTGAGGACTCAGGGAGAGAGGGAGGAGGGGACTTCATTCCCCATCATTTGTTGCCCCTGTCTGAAATCCAAGACCAATAAAGTCAGGAGGTGGGAGGGATTGGCTCGAGGATGGAGAGAAACAGGAGAAGCCTAGACATCCAGTTACAACTGGGTTGGCCCTGGAGGCACCTCCACCAGCATCCTTCCTCTCCTAGAAGCCAGCCCAGATTGGGTGGAGGCCATAGGCTTCAGGAGGCCTTGGCACACCTCCTACCCTCTCCGGAGCCTCCCCAAGTAACCTCTGCAGCCATGCTCTGATCCTAGCCGCACTGACGGTTAAATGTCTTCTGGTCCCCATTTTTATTCTGTCATCCTGCTTTCCAACCATTGTTTTTCATGCATCTGTCTTGGCTTCACCTCCTTCCTCTCTCCCCACCTTCCAGAACCGCACTCAAAATTCCTGGCCTCTTGTGTCTTCCTGCTAAGTGGTTTTTAGCGTCTCCTTCTCCTCCATGACCCCATCCCTCCATGGACTCCCTCTGGGACCACTCCTGAGCGATCAGGGGTCTTGTCTCTTGTCTCCCATCCAACACCCTCTCTTGCTGTCAAGACGCTCCTCCTAAAATGCTGTTTTCATCATCTAATTCTCCCTTTTGGATCCCCACTGTCTTTGGATCTTTGTTGTTAAAAGGTGTAAAAATCCTCAGCAGAGCATTCGAGGTCCCCCTCAGGTAGAGCCCAGTCCAGCTTCCCAACCGGGCCTGACTCGCCTCTCCTTCCTGCCTGGAGACTAGATGGAACCCCTACCGTCAAGTCACAGCCCAACCCCCCCCCCCAAGCCCCCACCCCGGTGTTCAGCACTTACCACGTGCGGATAGTGGCAGGCTCTGATCCTGTCATCTACACCACAGTGTCCACACTGAGCTCTAAATGAGGTACACATGCAAAGGGCTTAGCGTGGCACCTGGCAGGGTGTTCAACAAACATCAGCTGGTGTCACTATTGTCTCGACACAAGATCTTTTCCTGACCACAGCCACCTCACAAGAATTACATTGCGTGAAATTACATCGCGTTGCATTACGTGATCACATTACAGGCACCATCACATTAGGTGTTCTGCTACCCCAACATCGGGCTTGCTCATAATCTTTTATCTCATGTTCCTAAATGCTAACGTTGAGGGCAGGAAGTATGTCTTGCTCGTTTTTGCGTTTCGACCATGTTATGGCGATCGCCACGCCTAGTGCATGACGAGTGCCGAACAGATGAAGGGAGCCGGTCCAAGAGACCTGCCGTGGAGGGAACCAGCCGCCCGGTTTGCAGGTTGTGCCCAGCACCGGGAAGCCCAGCAGAGGGCCGGGAGGGCTTGGGGGTCCCTTCACAGAGCCAGAGAGGGGGGCAGCGTACCCATCATGGGAAGGAAGGGAGCTATACTGGTTTTCTAGGGAGCTGTAACAAAGTGCCACTCATCTGGTGATTTAAAACAACAAGTTTACTGTCTCACTGTTCAGAGGCCAAAATCAAGGTGTCAGCAGGGTCTGCTCCCTCTGAAACCAGTAGAGGAGAAACCCTCCTTCCGGTCTTCCAGCCCCTGGTGGTGTCATCAACCTCAGCTGCTGCGACATCACCCAGTCTCTGCCTCTATTGTCACACGGCCTTCCCCTCTGTGTCGTGTCCAAAGTTCCCTCTCCTTATAGAACACCGGTCATACTTGATTAGGGTGACTTCAGCTTGATAGGATTATGTCTGCAAAGAATCTATTTTCAAATAAGGTCTCTTTCATGGGTAGGAGGGGTTGGGACTTCCATATATCTCTTTGAGGCAGGGGGCCACAATTCAACCCACAACAGGTGTTTTTTAAAAATTCACACAGGGGTGCCTGGGTGGCTCAGGCGGTTGAGCACCCGACTCTCAATCTCAACTCGCGTCTTGATCTCAGGGTCGTGAGTTCAAGGCCTGCACTGGGCTCTGCGCTGGGCGTGGAGCATACTTAAAAAAAAAAAAAAAATCACACAAAAGTCCTCTCTGCTTGTGCCTGGGACTGCACCCATCCAGAGGTGGTCTCTTGTAGAAATTATGTTCGGTGCAAGTGGTCAGCATTTGCCATGAGATCTTTCCTTGGGGACGTGTGCCGGGCAGGTGCACAGAAAGAACATGGATCACTAGCCTGTCCTGAGGGTCTGTTCTGTTTTCAACCGTTACTGAACTTCCCTGTGCCATTCCTCCTCCGGTGTAGCTGGATAATAAGCCCCAACACTGTCATTTCTCCTCCTGATCTGGAAGAGTCTAACTTATAAATACATGAACCCAAGAAACTTCACGAGTTCGGCTCTCTGCCTGCTCTCGGCTTTTTCCTTCCCTGCTATCCTCCATGTGGCCACCAGAGGGCTGTCTCTACTCGCAAGGCAAATGTGTCACTCCTGCTTAAAACCCTTCCCCTCTCCTTCCCTCTCCTCCCTTCTCCCTCCCTCCCCTGCCCACTGCCCTCCACCACACGCCCCCTGCTGGCCAGCCCCTACCTACCGGATGGATGCGTGCAACCCAGAACTGCTTGTTCTCGTGAAGCCGGCTGTTGCTTGCCTCGGGCTTTGCTCTCGCTTTCCCCTCCTGCTGGCGGGACCTTGTCCTTCATCCTCTGGGGGGGGGGGGGGGGGGATGTTTACTGCTCAGTTCAGGTCCCACTTCCAAGACACCTCCCTTAACCTACCAGCCTGCCAGGCAGGCTCAGCCCATCCCACCTCTGCATCCGGTAACTCTCTCTGTAAGGATCGCTCATGACCCTTCTGTGTCACTGTAAA